ACAAAGAGAAAAATAACTTTAATAACATTTTGGGAGACGGAGTAGATGATTCCACAACTTTGGGGTAGGTCTAACTTGGTCTTGAGTTTCATTTCAATAATTTTATTAAATAACACAGACAGCTAAGTGAGATAGAAATTAATAGGTGGCCAAAGAAAGATCAGACCCTTGAGGGAGTCAGTGTAGATGATGAGACACACTGAAGAGAGCCAGGCCTCGAGATGGAGATTGAATAGCCAGGTCTGCAGCCCCTCTAGTGATAAAGAGCAGCTTGAAATTGTACTGTGATTAGCACCACATGATCCAGTGAGCTCAGACAGGCATCAGATGCAGAAGTGGGCAACCAAAGTATCTGGACTCATACTCCCCTTTCCAGTATTACTTTTCTTCTTTCCATGTACCCTTGCTATGTGATTTTTTTCCTATTGGATCAATATTAGCTAAGCAGCTGTACTTGTAATGCTATATGTTGATGGTAGTTTGACCCTTATTGTGATTTTGCTGTATAAAATACTCTTTGACAAAGAGCTTCAGTGGCCACCCAGTCGGGATCCTTCCTGGAAATCCAGGAGCTCTCATTATTATTATTTCTAAGAAAACTCTCCCAACTTCCCCCTTTCATTCTCGTCTTCATTCCTTCATGTTGTGAGATCACAAACTCAGTACACCTGACATCTAACAGGATGGGAATTATTTTTCCCATACCAATTCTATGTTAATATACTTTTGGAATTTTCCTCAAAACTAATTTAAAATCTTGCCACATTTCCATACATTTCACTTACAAAGGACAGGGTGCCCGGATTGGTGTAGACTGTTCATTAGTTTCATTTATGGCACAGCAGCAACATGAGCTTTGTGTTTATTTTGGCTCTCCTAGTTTCCATGTGCCTTCTCTCAAGTCTCACTGGTACAAAGCCAAAACATACTCAAGTAGACAAGGGTGTCACAAGTAGGAATCCGTGGGTTTAGGAAACTCTCTTATAAAAGGGCAGCTGGTAACCCTGTGTATCTTCCCTTCTGAAAAGAAACAATAGTTTTACCCTAAATTTTAAACAAATCTTCAGAAAAAGGAGAGAAAAGTTCTTTGCTATTGCTATTCTTCCATATTGCCAGGGAGAGATTTTATCCATCTGGAAGTTAAATAAATTTGAAGATATTACCTATACATTTCTATACATGAAGAAATGTGAGATTTATGGAGAATTACATATATCTCAAAATGAGATGATCTGGGATAGCCTTCACAGAAGAAAGAAAAGCTAAAAGTTGTAATTTGAATAAAAATATTCAAGAAGATGAAGGGTACATGCACTTCATAAAACAACAGAATGGAAATAGCAGTTTTGATGTAAGTGAACTATACATGCATTGCATTGGCAGATTAGACAGCGTTTCAGGCCATACCAGACACTACATGGGATTTAATGTTGACATAAGTAGATCCTTTTGCATGCTTTACATAATGGCAAATTTAGGTTTTATTTTATAGAATATAACATTACTGGAGTATGACTAATAAAAACAAGCTGAAAGCCAATTTTACCATTGTTTTGCAAACGTTAAACATTACATAAAACATAAGCCCCTCACACTATACCTTCTCAGTTATAGTCTCATCTTTATTTTTCTCTACTATTCTCCAAGAATCAAACTTTCTATTTCCTTTTATTTCACTAAACTTTTATACTCCAGGAATTCTTTGTTAAAGAGAAAGCTATAATTTTCATATTTTACCTACCCCAAAGAGACCTTTTCCCCAGCTGGTTCATTTTTCCACTAGTTAGTTAGGTCAACAACGAATGTCTGTCTTATCATTAGGGAGAACAAGTAGGGACTACACTCATCTAGATTTCCAGTTCTACTCTCAAGTCGTTAATATTGATATTCTTATAGAATTCCTTTCTCATTCAAACTTGTCCATTTTAACTGTTCTCATGTGTAAAATTTTTATATATTAATGAAAGACTCTGATATATGTAATAACTATGCTTTGCTTTTCAAGTCATAGCATTCAACACACCTCTTGTTGATTCTATTGCTTTTCATACCCTTATAAAAACTTCTTCTGCATGGAGAATTCATTTTTTGACCTAAATCTGAAAATAGTCTGAGTCACTTATACTTTATTTCAGCTAATTAAAAACTAACCTGTATTATCCTATATGTAATATCACTAGATATTGTTTCCTCTGTAAGTTAATCTGTATCGACAAAAGCTTTGTAAACAACCTCCAACTGCACATAGCATTTGACCCTCCATAAACCACCACTTACTCAACACCTTGATTTTCTCTCAACAGAAAGTGTCCTACTTGGCTTTAATTTATTCTCTATGGACCAAATTCAAAGTACATAAAGTTAATTTTGATTATATAAATATTCCTAATTCTTATCTCCTCGTGTTTTGTCAAACAAGCTGAGAAAAGTACAGCTATGAATTTATCAACTGCATTATTCCTTTCTTTTTTGAGACAGCATCTTGCTGTGTAGTTCACAGTGGTCTTCAAGTCATTATAGAGCCCAGACTCACCTGAAACTCACAGTGATCCTCCTCAGCCTCCCAAGTACTGGGATTACAGCCGTCAAGGATGGTTTTGTCTTTCTCATGTTTATGCCCAGTTTTTAAGTATTAAAGAAAATCATACAAGCAATTATATAAGTAACACTTGAATTCATGTTGGCAAAACTCATTTAGGAGATAATCAATAATTAAAATAATCATTGGGCCAGGGATTTAGCTCAGTGGTTCCAACACCTGCCTCGCAAGCGCAAGGTCCCAAGTTCGATCCCTGGTACCAAAAAAAAAATAATAATAATTAAAATAATCATTGATAATTTAAAATCTCTATGGGATACTATCTCCAAGGGCTTTTAACTAAGTGTAGAAAATATCTTTGTGATTTAGCAAATAACCTTTAATCCATTTAGTACATGCAAATTTCGATAAGAAGGATTATTGCTTATGAAAATCACAGCTCAATACAGCAATAAATTTTGAATTTTCTGAATACTTCTAGAGATAATAAGAGTCAACATTAATAACAATCCTAGGACAATTTGGAAGGTGCATGTTTAAAAGCCAAAAACAGGCATCTTACATATTGCTGATAATACAATTTTTCATATTTCAGATGGTTTTATCCTATACCTGAATGTTTCTGGGGGAGAAAATTTCAGCAATTAGCATTTATTCTTTAATCCAAAATGTACTAATTTTTGATACATTTTTCTTTGAAGTATAATTTTCAAGTTTTGAGGGTTTCCTTAGATCCAGTTTTTAATCAAATCTTGTAGTTTTCAGCCTGAATTTACTTAATATAGCTGTAAATAACATGATTAAGATTACTGTCATAGCAGAAATGTGTGCATTTTTTCTTTTATGGAATATATAGTATCAGAGAGAAAGATATATGATGAAAATGTTCTCTGATAGCCCTGAATTAAAATCAATTGTATTATTTAATAAATTCAAAAATACTGAAGCAATTTTAAAACATCTAAAAAACCTCCTGACACTACCATCCTTTCTTACTTCTCAGATGTTATCTTGTAAGCACATCATACTGAAAACTAGAAATTCCTCATCACACAAGCATGATACCAAACACCAGGGTTGTTCTCCCTTCCCTAAAATATCATCTTGGGGGGGTGGGTAAAGTGTGCCCCGCCCACAGGCTGTCTGCACTCTGATTGGCTGCCGTCTTGGGACCTATTTGAGAGTTGGCAGTTGAAGCTCACTCACTTTGGGACTGGACAGCAAGAGAACAGACTGGGGGAAGGGACGTTTAGTTTGAGAGGGTGTTGAAGTAGGATCATGAAGGAAGAGGTGAAGAGAATTCCTGTAAAAGTGGCACTATGTTGTTGCCCTCTGGTCTCCAAAGAGATCAGTGAGGGCTGCCACATGTGCCTTTCCTTCATGCCAGGGGAGCCTCAGGTGCTGGTTGGTAATGACAAATCCTTTACCTACGATTTTGTGTTTGACTCCTCCACTGAGCAGGAAGAGGTCTTCAATACAGCAGTAGCACCACTCATCAAAGGCGTGTTTAAAGGATACAATGCCAACTGTTCTGGCCTATGGGCAGACTGGCTCTGGGAAAACGTACTCAATGGGAGGTGTGTACACTGCAGAGCAAGAGAATGAACCAAGAGTTGGGGTTATCCCTAGGGTAATACAACTGCTCTTCAAAGAAGTTGATAAAAAGAGCGACTTTGAATTTACTCTGAAAGTATCTTACTTGGAGATTTACAATGAAGAAATTTTAATCTTCTGTGTGTATCTCAAGAGAAAGCCTCTCACATAAACATCGAGGAAGATCCCAAGGAAGGCATAAAGATTACAGGCCCCACTGAGAAGCCTGTCTTAATTGCCTTGGACACTGTTTCCTGTTTGGAGCAGAGCAACAACTGCAGGACTGTCGCCTCCACGGCTATGAACTCCCAGTCCTCCCGATCTCATGCCATCTTCACAATCTCCATAGAGCAAAGAAAGAAAAATGACAAGAATAGCAGCTTTCACTCCAAGCTGCATCTTGTAGACCTTGCTGGATCAGAAAGACAGAAGAAAACCAAAGCTGAAGAGGATCATCTGAAAGAGGGTATTAATATTAACCGAGGCCTCCTATGCTTGGGAAATGTAATCCGTGCTCTTGGAGATGACAAAAAGGGAGGTTTTGTGCCCTACAGAGATTCCAAATTGACTCGACTGTTTCAAGATTCTCTAGGAGGGAATAGTCATACAGTCATGATAGCCTGTGTAAGTCCGGCTGATTCCAATCTAGAGGAAACATTAAATACCCTTCGCTATGCTGACAGAGCAAGAAAAATCAAGAACAAAGCTGTTATTAACATTGATCCCCAGACAGCTGAACTTAATCAGCTTAAGCAACAGGTACAACAGCTGCAGATTTTGTTGCTGGAAGCCCGTGCAGGTACCCCGCCTGGATCTGTAAATGTGGGACCATTAGAGAATCTACAATCCCTGATAGAGAGGAATCAGTCCCTGGAAGAGGAGAATGAAAAATTAAGTCATGGTCTGAATCAGGCAATTGGTCAGACAGTGCAGATGTTGGAAAGGATCATTTTGACAGAGCAAGAGAATGAAAAACTGAACATGAAATTAGAAGAGCTCAGGAAGCATGCAGCCTGTAAACTGGATCTTCAAAAGCTACTGGAGAAATTGGAAGACCAGGAATTAAAAGCAAATGTAGAGGTAATTCGTAACCTGCAACAAGTGATTATCCAGCTATCGCATGAAACTGTACCTTGCATGGCTGCAGCCATTGGTTCTGCAGTAGAAACAGAAGCTCAAGTGCAAACCAGTCCAGAGACCAGCATGTCTGCTGATGCTTTCACCGCCCAACATGCTCTGCGGCAAGCTCAGATGTCAAAGCAGCTGACTGAGCTGAACAAAGCCCTAGCATTGAAAGAGGCCTTGGCCAGGAAGATGACTCAGAATGACAGCCAACTACAGCCCATCCAGTTCCTGTACCAGGAAAACATAAGAAACCTAGAATTGGAAGTCATCAATCTGCAAAAAAAAAAAAAGAAGACTTGATTCTTGAACTTCAGACAGCAAAGAAGGATATCAACCAGGCCAAACTGAGTGAGCGCCGTCGAAAACGTCTCCAAGAGCTAGAGAGTCAGATAGCTGATTTGAAGAAGAAACTACATGAAAAGTCTAAGCTTCTGAAGCTGAAGGAATCCTCAGAGCATACTGTGACCAAATTGAACCAGGAGATAGGGATGATGAAGCACCAGCGGGTACAGTTAATGCATCAGATGAAGGAGGATGCTGAGAAGTTTAGACAGTGGAAGCAACAAAAAGACAAAGAAGTAATCCAGTTAAAAGAACAGGACCATAAAAGGCAGTATGAGCTGCTCAAACTTGAAAGAAACTTCCAGAAGCAGTCCAGTGTGCTCAGGCGTAAAACTGAGGAGGCAGCAACAGCCAACAAGCGTCTCAAGGATGCTCTCCAAAAGCAACAGGAGGTGGCAGATAAGTGAAAAGAGACTCAGAGCCGTGGAACGGAAAGCACTACAGCTCGAGTGAGGAATTGGCTTGGAAATGAAATTGAGGTTCTGGTTAGTATTGAGGAAGCCAAGTGTCATGTGAATGACCTCCTTGAAGACAGAAAGATGCTGGCTCAGGATCTGGCTCAACTTAAAGCCAAAAAGGAGTCTGAGGAGAATCCACCTCCTAAACTTCAGAGGCGCACGTTTTCACTTGCGGAAATGCCTGCTCGCATTTCAGAGTCAGAGGATTCTATCACAAAGCAGATTGAAAGACTAGAGACTGAAATCAAACTCAGGGTGCTCAGATTGCTGACTTCCAGCAGAAGCTCCTGGATGCAGAGAGTGAAGACAGGCCAAAAAAATGCTGGGAGAATATTGCTACAATTCTGGAAGCCAAGTGTGCCCTGAAATACTTAATTGGAGAGCTAGTCTCCTCCAAAATACAGGTCAGCAAGCTTGAAAGCAGCCTGAAACAGAGTGAGGCCAGCTGTGCTGACATGCAGAAGATGCTGTATGAGGAACGAAGTCATTTTGGTGAGATGAAGACAGAGCTGCAGGCTGAACTGGTCAGAGTGGAGCAACAGCACCAAGAGAAGGTGCTGTACCTTCTCAGCCAGCTGCAGCAAAGCCAAGTAGCAGAGAAGAAGCTGGAGGAGTCGGTCAGTGGGAAAGAACAACAGCTGCTGCACACGCTGAAGTATCAGAATGAGGAGATTAAGAAGATGCAAGAAGTATGCGAGCAAAATCAGCAGCTTCTCCAGGAGAATGAAAAAGTCAAGCAGAAATTGAACCTCCTCCAGGCAGCCAACAGGCAGAAACTTCGTCTTGCTGAGGGTATCCCTCTCTCTCCAGACTCTTCCTTTGAATATGTCCCACCTAAGCCAAAACCTTCTCGTGTTAAAGTAAAATTCCTGGAGCAAAGCATGGACATAAAGGATCTAAAATATCATTCCGACCATTCTGTGAGTGAGGATGATGATGGCCACGGAGATGATGGGGACGATGAGGAATGGAAGCCATCAAAATTAATTAAAGTGTCCAGAAAGAACACCCAAGGATGTTCCTGCAAGGGCTGGTGTCAGAACAAACAGTGCAGGTACAGGAAGCAGAAGTTGGATTGCGGTGTGGCCTGCAGTTGCAACTCCACAAAGTGTCGGAACCGCCAGCCAGGCCAGGATAGTTTGGGCACTGTTGAGTGGACTCAGGATTCTGACAGCTCCTTCAAACTGGAAGACCCCACAGAAGTGACCCCAGGATTGAGGTTCTTCAACCCTGTCCGTGCCACTCCCAAGAGCAGGATCCTGAAAGAGATGTATGATAGGGAGCAGGTGCTATCAAAGAAGACTGCTCCAGCCCTCTCTTCCTTTGACCTCCCAAGACCCAAATATGTAACAGCAGAATACCAAGAAAAGGCTCTAGGGAAGAAAAAGAAGCGTGCACTGGCCAGCAATACCACCTGCTTCTCTAGCTGCTCCTCTATGGAAGAAGAGACTCACTGAGTGAGAGTTGTTGTCGGTACCCCCCTAGCCTGCCTCAGGAGACACACTCAGGTTGCAGACAGGGGCAGGTTTTGAATGACTCCTCTGGATATCAAGTGTCTTGCTGTTGAGCAGACAGAGTGTTATTGAAAGGAAGGGGACCTTCACTGAATATTAGCCCTCGGTTTCCTGCCCCTTGTCCCAGTCTACTTCTACTCTTTCTTCTCCAGAATGTG